TCTATGGTATCAACAATAGGAATTTGGATCCCAATTGGGAAAACGTTTTTCAGGTGGAGGGTCTTGACTGGGACCAATGGAGTGAATATGACCTTGATCATGAAGACAGTCAAAAGCTTCATTGTAAGTCATTCCTATTGGTGTGCATTCTTCAATGGTCCGTTTTGCCCGTGGCTTGGGAGCATTGAGTTCCTCATTAAACCCTTGGGGAGAATTTTGTTCAATGTCCATCACCTGATTTGCTAATCCTTCTACCACGTTCAAGAGCATGACAACGACATCTCGCAGTTTTCGAACGCCCTCTTTTAGACTTGACGAGTCTTTCCTGGTATTATCTAAGAAAAGACTTTCATACTCCCCAATCATGGCCACTTCATCGAGAGAGGTTATATAAGTTGTCTCGATCATGAGCTCTCCTACACGTGTGATAAGAAGTTATGGATCGAAGGATGCTTGATCTTCTTCGATGGCTAGAATTTCGGAAGTTTCATTGTTATCGATCAGATCTTGGATAACTTCTTTGAGTTTCCAACACTCCACAGTGTCGTGACCCTTTCCTTGGTGATATTTGCAGTGCTTATTAGGGTCCCACTTGGGTGGCCTGGCTTCTGGAACTGGATCTTTGATGGGCCCTATGGGCATGACTAGTCCTTTGTGATGTAGCTTCTCGAAAGTTTTTTCATAACTCATACCAAGTGGAGTGAACACCCTTTTTGACCTTTGGATTCGTGATTTAGAGGCGTTCGTGACATGTACCTCATTAATGGAAGAGGAAGAAGAAGGATGGTCGTTCTTCTTTCCTCTTGCACTATTATCTTTCAGAAGGTCATCTTCAATGTACATGCCTATGTTATACACAGCCTTGAAAGTATTCAAGTTGTGTTAGTACTTTAATTGCTTTGAATACTTCCCTTGGAGATTCTTGATAAACATCCTCACAGATTCTTTTTCAGTGGGAGCCTTGACCATATTAGCAGAAGTTTCCCTCCATTTGTTGATGAAAGAAGTGAATCCTTCGTTTTCCTTTTGTTTTAACATCTCAAGTTGTCTGTGGTTTGTTTCGTCTTGGATGTTGCACTTATATCTATCTATGAAAGCGTTTGTTATCGACTCCCAAGAAGAGGTTTTCTCTTTGTCAAGGGAAATGAGCCATTGTTGACAAACGGTCTAAAGAGATAGAGAAAATATAGAGGGTAACACTTTCTTTTCAATACCCTTAATACTCATTATGGTTTCAAAAGCTCTTAGATGAAAGTAAGGGTTATCTGTTGCCTTGAATTTTGGGATGTCAGTGGCATTAAACTTATGCGGAAGAAGTTCCTTGTCCAGCGAGACCCCTTGTGAACTAATGCCCTGAAATTTATAGTCACTAGATAGCTTGCTCAAGCTTTCTTGCACGATCTGAGGTTCATTTGTTGTTGCTTCACAGGGTCATCAATTTTGAGGGTTAAAGCCTTTAACACCTCAGTCACGTCATTCAATTGATTCCTAAGTTCATTGACCTCTTCTTGACTTGCCATTATCTTTTTAGCCTTCCTCTTTTGACGAATTTGTTTATCAAAAAGTGAGACTTGAATAAAGAGGTTGTCCTTGATTAATCGCCCTTCTCTCCTCGACCAAGTACTGTGGAAAAGGAATTTGGGGATATTCATTGTTAATTATTTGACTCTAACTTTATTCAACATGCAATAGATGGAGGAAGTGAAGAAAGATTGGAATAGAATGTGAAGAAAAATGATGTAGATGGAGGGATATGGAAAATTAGGAATAGAATGTGCCCCCAACTCAAATGACGGAAAAAACCGACTCATGCATGAACCTTAGACATGGTCATGGTGACATATACACAAAGTGTGTGCTACGACTAGTGAGTGTAGGTGACATGTTAAGACTCGTGTCATGACCATGTGGCTAGACTATGAGACTAGACTCAATTAATGACTTAACAAGGTATTATTGTCAGTAAAATTTAACCGAATTAATTAGCAAACTGGTTAATTAGACACTAGATGATGACTCGATCAATAATCCAAACTGTCATCAAAACGACAGGACTGGCGCCTCTCTTTGCAGTGTAGCGCCAGACGACAGAGATGTCGCCTGGCGCCACACACCACTTAGTGGCGCTACAGTTCAGACTTTGGCGCCATTACTGGAGCTTCAATCTGAGGCTGTTTTCGGTGTTATTAATCACTAGAGGTATGCCTAAAGTCGTACTAGGTCAATTTTGGTTAAAATATTAGACTCTATTTACTGAAATTAATTAATTAATTAGGCAAAGTTCTTTAAGTCATTAATTTACTTAATCTCAACACAAGTCAAATAAACGGTTAAAAGAACATATATGCACAACAAATAATGCACAATTAGTCAAGTAGACACAATATGATGCAATGAGTTCGCAACCTAACCATGGCTCTAGTTCTCTAAAGTTTAGGAAATAGTTTAGTCAATACAGAGTCCACGGTTAATTGTCCAGAAGCACCGCGCGAAAGCCTAACCGTGAAGGGTTGGCGCGAGTGGATGGGACACCACGAGTTTTAGAAAAAACTCGCTTCCATGGTTTGGTGAATTTAACAATCTCGGATGTACCCTTTGTTGCTCAGAGCGTTCTATCATGTAGATGGAGCATGAATTCCCAGAGGGTTATGTCCATATGTAGAACACATATGGGTTTCAGAAAAGTAATAAAAACTCAATCAGGAAGTAGGATCAAGCAAACAATGCGAAAAACTAGTCGAAATTAGAACGCAAATTTCTGGCTCGGTATTGGAAGAATTTGGCGCCAGGTTTTAGCTGTAGCGCCTGGCGACAGAACTGTCGTCTGGCTCTACAATTAAAAGTCTGACGCTCATACTCTGGTCGCTGACGCTAATTCCTACATGCCTCAGCAGCTTTCTGTGCTCGATAAAATTTTCCAATTTCGTGTAGTGTTATTTCGGTCCTAGATGTGAAAGATATTTCTCAAATTTCCTACGTGTAAAATCCTATGTTTTAACTCATTACAGATGGTCTTTCCAATGAGATCTTTTTTATGCATATGACAATAATTTTAATCAAAATTACGCACATGAAATACTTAGAACGTTTCGAGTCTCATCCACTCATTCTAAATCATTGCCGAAACAAATTCAGGAATTAAATTAGAAATCCTCCCTACTAGAGTCGCCAAAAACTGTAGGGAATATTTCAAGAGTTAATCCCCAAGCTTGAACCCCACTGTGATCATACACTAAAGTACGGTGGCGTCCAAAGGGAAAGAAGATAGAGCAAAAGAGTGGCCAAAAAGTTTATTTTAGGAACTTGTAAACCGTTCACAGGGTGAAGGTTACACCCCTTAACGATCCAAGAGATCGTCAACTCCATAAGGTCTTGAACCAAATAGGGTTCGGGGATGATGGTACAAATCCAACCTAAAAGAGATTGAACCTGATCTAATAATAGGCGTCTACTTTATTCTGATCGTATTCATGTGCGCTTTCTAACTAACATGCAATCAATAGGTTAAGCCCTAAACCTGTTTATCTATGTTGGTTGAATATTAATGCACAAACAAATCTATTATTGGCGATCACTTGAATTATAATCAAATTAACCCTAACAAGATTATTAATTATCTTATTAAGCGTGATTACAAGTACCAATTCCTTTTAAACATGCATAAAAGGTGTGATCAAGAAATAAATATATCAAGCAACAATAATAAGTAAAAAATAAATCATAATCATCATAATTATATTAAAGCATAATATTAATAGCAAGATCCTAGACATGATACTAACAAGATTAATAACAAACCCTAACATGTAATGAAGCAATAAAGATCATATATTTAACCCTAACATGATACTAACAAACATAAATATTAGGAAGAACATAAAAGGCATCATACTTTTAATCATACTTAATATTAAAGTTACCCTAGACATGATACTAGGAATTTATTGTTGTCATCCTAAACATCAAGTTAAGGAAAACATCCTAACATGATACTAGGAATCAAAATAACAATCTAAGCATGATTTCTATATCACAATATCAATTAAACCATTAAAGTACTTACTTGGATGCCTCGTATCTCTTTCTAATAACAAAATACACACGTTAGTAACTTCAAGGAAAATAATGAAACAACAATTAAATTTAATAATTGAAATAGAGATTTGGGACCAAACCCTCAGAAATTTAAACCTTTCACGTCTAGGGCGAAGAAAACTTCAAATATGGCTAGGTATATCTAAGTCTTGCGAATGCTGAATTTTGTATTTGAGAAAAGACTAGTTTAGAAAAGAGAGAGAGTAAGAGTAATCACGAGAATCTTGATGAGAGTTGGTTAAAGAGAGAATTGATGATTGGAAACGAAGTTTTTAGAACGCTATTTGTAAAGAAAATCAACCAAAAAGATAAAAAAAATCAAACATAGTTCTGACGCAGATAAAATTTGATTAGCGCCAACGCCGGCCATTGGTGCCAAACGCTAAGGCTAGCACCAGGCCCCAAGCGTAGCGTCAGGCGCTACAGGTGGCGTTTGGCGCTGACTCTGAAATTCACGCGTTTTCTTAAAATCAGGTAGAAATTGCTGTACAGGAGGATAGAATCGTATTTTCCCAAAAACGTTCTTTGATTCTAATTAAAATTCTAAAAAGTCAACAAAAGTCAATTTATCAATGCTAATCGAATTGGAATGAAAAAAACCTTCTAGAAGAATCTAGAAGGCTAAAACCATTCCTAATTGCATTAGGAATGAAAAATCCATATTAAGCCCTCCTCTAGATCATTGGGCCGCATATAAGGCTCAAAACGAGCCCAGTTCAGTAACACTAGTTGAAAATTTGTCATTTTAACACCCTATTTGTAACGGACATTATAAAATTCGTTCAAAAAGAGTAATTGTAACGGGCAATATATATGTCCGTTACGAAAAAACTCATTTGTAAAGGGCAGAAAAATGCCCGTTACGATTAGTTAATACCTGTAACGGGCAAATAAATGCCTGTTACGAATAGTTAATATTTATATCTGGCAAATATAGAGCCCAAAGCCCGTTACAACTAAATAAGCGCTAGGGTTTAAATCCTTATTTTGTTCCAGGCCAGCCGCATTTCTTCCTCAAAGCGTTCTCTCTCTCCTCATTTCTCTTCTTCCTCTGTCCTCTTCATTTTCTATCTCCTTTTCTCTTTCTTTTTAGATCCAAACCATCAATCATCCACCTTGTAAGCTTTTTACGCCTACCGTTGAGCCACGAGCATCCACCACTAAGCCATGAGATGTTGGTCCGAGCATTCAATTGGTTAAGGTTTTTCAGTTTTAGATTCTATTTTAATTTAGGTTGAATACAAATTTAGTTTTTCTCTTTGAGTTTTTAATTCAAATTTCTGATTACAACTAATTTGTATTTTTTGTTGTTACTTAGATCTGACAAGTATTTACTTTTTGTTTATTTTGAGATAATTGTTTATGTAAATTTTTGTGGTGTGGCGGATTTTCTGTGTAGTGGTGGTTGGTAGGTATGGTAGGGGCAATGGTGGTGAGAATCGTAGGGGTGGGCGCGTCGGTTGGTCCTAGCAACGGCGACAGTGGGTTATTTTGTCATTTAATGTTTTTTTAGTTTTTGTTTTGCTCAAATTTACAATTTCATGTTTTCGACACCAAGGTTTATCTGTTTTTTTTTTTTATTTTAATTCAATTTTTTTTCATAGAAATTGTGCCTTGTCTATTACATGCAGCAAATTATTGACTTTTGACAACATTAATTGTTAGTATTTCTTGAAATTATATAGATCTGTGTTTCTGAGCTTTCAAATTACCAATGTGCAGGGGAGGGAACCTGGGTACGAGATTGAACCCGGGTAGTGTGGCGATGCGAAGGTTTGGTATTGATGATGAGGAAAAGGATACCAGATTGTTGTGGGGTGAAAGATTTGAAGGTATGACCCACAAGTTCCTACTTTATTAGCCAACTTGCTGCTGTATTTGCTTCGTAAGAAGATTACTGGGCATTGGGCTCAACTTCGTCAACTTGTTAATCAATCACTTACTATGTAGCACAGGTTTTCTTTCACTCTCTTCTACATTGTTTTTCTTGTATTTTGATGGGATTTTGTTTGAAGAAATTGAGATGATATGATATTGAGTATGTAATTGAGGTATAATTTTTTTGGTGGGTGATTGAGGAATGAGTTTGGTAATGGGGGTAATTGAGGAATGAGTTTGATGATGGGTAATTGAGGAATTGGTTTGATAATGGGTAATTGAGGAATCAGCTTGATGATGAGAAATTGACGAACTAATTTAATAATGGTTAGTTGTGAATTAATTTTTGTCGTTAGGATTATTTTACTTGTATATAACAAGTGATTCAAGAAACTTGTTGTAGTTAGGATTATTTTATTAGTGGAATAGTGTGGAATGATTTACTGGAAATGGTGAAATGTATGTTCTATGAAGATTTAACTTTTATCAAATGGGTTGATGGTTGGTTGTGGGTTGTGGGTTATATTTTCTGTATAAGATTTGCGGTGATTTTGAGATTTATAGCCGTGTGGGTTGTGATAATTGGAATATCAACCGAAATTGTTTGACGCTATTTATGAATGTGAATTGAATGAATGATAGATATAGTAAGGGATTATCTTTTGTTTTGTGAATGCTTCAGTTTTGTTTATATTAGTGTGTTTGTCGAGGTTCTTGTTTCTGAGCTCTTTAGATTATATAATGAATTTAAGATATTCATTAAATTGCCAAAGCATTCTAGATATGTGACTGTCAAAAATGTCAAATACATTCCAAGACATGTGATTGTGTAAAACTTGTAATCAATTCAATACTCCTTATTGTTACTTTGCCCTCTAATTTTCTTTTACTGTCATACCTGCTTAAATACTTCGTATTATAATATGCTGATGTTGTGAATTTGAGATACTACTTAACCAAATTATTAAATTTGCGACTGTTGTGAATATCTGTTTTGTAAAATTTCTGCTTAAATACTTCGTATTATAACAAGTACCTTTACAGATTACATATGCTCTTAGCTTTGTTGCTTTTGCATGCCTTTCTGTATCGTATTATAACAAGGCTAGATGTTGATAATGTGGTCGAGCAGAAGAGTGATATTGCCAAAGCAGTTGCTGATGACTTGAAAAAGTAAGTTTAGGCATGTATATAGCTACACATAATCCTAAAGTCCTATATATATTTGATCAGAATAATCAGATTCTGAACCTTAAAATTGCTATTTTCTTTCCAGGTAATGTCTCATGGTTTTGAAATTGTTCAAACACTTATTACTGATATTGAACCTCCAGAGCAGCCTCGACCTCGCCGAAGAAACAGAGAGAGAATGCAGCAGTTGGATTCTTCTGAGTTTGTATTGTAGGGCTTTGAAAAATGCAGTAAATGATTGCTCTGATTTAATAAAGAAGAAGAGGAAGTTGCCTTGTTCAGCTTTGAAATTATGGAGGTTTAGTGAGAAAAAGAATAAAGAGGTTTAGTGGAATTATGTTGTAGCTTTTGAATCATGTTAGGAGTTGTTGTTAAGTCAATTTGGACATTAGTACAAGTTGTATCTTAATTTATAATTAATTGAATTTTACATTTATTATTATTGGAAAGTAATAATAATATTAAAGATTTGGCATCATAGCAGATTACCAGGTAGCAGGTATCCCCTGCTACTTTTTTTTTTTATTTTTTTATTTAGTCTTCAATTGTATTTTTAACGAGCGGATTATATGCCCGTTACGAATAACCTGTTATTTGTAACGGGCAGTTTAAATGCCCGTTACAAATAACGGGTTATTCGTAACGGGCATTTCAACTGCCCGTTACAAATAACGGGTTATTCGTAACAGGCATTTTAAATAACGGGTTATTAGTATCGGACATTTTAACCGCCCGTTACAAATAACGGGTTATTCGTAACGGGCAGCGCCCGTTACAAATAACATAGTCTATCCGTAACGGCCGCATTCGTAACGCCCCTTGCCCGTTACGGATTGTAACGGGTTATTCGTAACGGGCAGCGCTCGTTACAAATAACATAGTCTATCCGTAACGGCCGCATTCGTAACGCCCCTTGCCCGTTACCGATGGGCTGTTTTTGCCCGTTACGGATAGCTATTTTTCCACTAGTGTAATTTGGCGATAACTTCCTCAATATTTATCGGAATTGGGCTTATAATATATCGTTGGAAATCTATTTTCAAGCCCTATCCAACTACACAATTATTGGACCCATATCATGGACCAACCAAACTGGATTGACTGTTTTCTTATAATAGGTTTTCAAAAACAGAGAGAAGAGAAAAGAAATTAAAACTTTCTGCCACACTAAACTTTCCACACTTTCACTTCATTCGATTATGATTCGACGTGAAAGGTACTCATCACTGGGTTTGGTTTTGGGGAGACACGAATGGGTGTCTACAACGCTAAAAAGTTGAGGTGGCATGCAGAGGGAAGAAAGAAAAACATAATGCCGAAGCATCTAGCCGACTCCCCGCGGTGGAAGAACATTGATTTTAAGTATGAGAAATTTGGTGATGAAGTCAGAAATTTAAGGCTTGGGTTGTGCACGGACGGGATTAATCCATTTGGCATTCTTAGTACCCAACACAACACATGGCCGGTTCTTTTAATGATTTATAATTTGCCTCCTTAGTTGTGCATGAAACGTAAGTATGTAATGCTTTGATTGCAAATGACGGGGCCTAGGCAACCTGGAAACGGCAGAGATGTTTACCTTGTGCGGCTTATTGATGACTTAAGAAAGATATAGGACGAAGGGGTTTTCGCTTTCGATGCTCATCAGAACGAGATGTTCACATTACGTGCAACCCTTATGTGGACCATGAATGACTTCCCTGCATATGGCAACTTGTCTAGGTACAAGGTCAAAGAGAAAAAATCATGCCCCATATATATTGATGACACATCAAGCGTATACCTTAAGAATTCTTGCAAAGATGTCTACTTGCGGACTCGAAGTTTCCTTAGGCGTGATCACCCGTACCGTAGGCAGAAAAAGGCTTTCGATGGAACAGTGGAAGAGGATATTGCGCCTAGACCATTGACTGGTGCTGAGATTTGTGCTCGGGTGAAAGGGATACGAACGGTGTTTGAAAAATCAGAAAAAAAACTATGGTCTCAGCTGCTCTATTTAAGAAAGAATCAATTTTTTGGAAGCTTCCATACTGAAGAGAACATGATGTTAGGCACTGTCTTGATGTGATGCATATAGAGAAGAATGTGTGTGATGCTCTTTTGGGAACCCTTATGAATATCCAAGGCAAAACAAAGGATGGAAAGGGTGCAAGGTTAGATTTGCAAGAGATGGGGATTCGTCAAGAATTGTGGGCTCAGGAAAAGGTTAGAAAGGGAAAGGAACCCGGGAAAAGAAGTTGCAATTGTTTCGAAAAAAAGGGAAGGAGAAAAGCAAGGGAAAAGGAAAGATAAAGGCCACGGATACATTAAAGAAGAATGTTTAGGGTGAAGGGAAGGATGAAAAGACTTATTTACCTCCGGCTTACTATACATTGTCAAGGGTAGAGAAACGTATGTTTTGTGCAAGTCTGTACGACATTAAGGTTCTATCAGGGTACTCATCTAACAAGAAAATATTTGTAACCCTGAATGGAGAATTGAAGCTGACAAGTATGCAATCCCATGATTGTCACATTATGATGCAAGTATTCCTACCGATTGCAGTCCGTGGTATTCTATCGAAGCACGTGAGAGAAGCGATTACAAGCCTTTGTTTTTTAATACAATTTGTAGCAAAGTGCTTGATCCTTGTACACTAGATTCTTTGCAAGCAAATGTGGTTCTGACTTTGTGCAAATTTGAGATGTATTTCCCACCCTCACTTTTTGACATAATGGTTCATCTGATTCTTCATTTGGTGCGTGAGATTAAGTTGTGCGGCCTAGTGTTCATAAGGTGGTGTTATCCTTTTAAAAGACACATGGGTACATTGCAAAATAAAGTACGGAACCGGGCTCACCCTAAAGGATGTATGATGCAAGGGGCCGTGGGTGAGAAGATAGGTAACTTTGTGGTGGACTACATAGCCCTTGCTCAACCTATTGGTCTTCCTACTTCTCGACATGAAGGGGGACTTGATGGTCATGGCACAATTGGGTAGAAATGAATGTCACCTGACCGAGATAAGTTCTTACAAGCACACCTTTATGTGTTGCACCATGTTTCAGATGTGCACCCATATTTAGACGAGCACAAGTTCTTATGAATAAGAAGATTAGTGGGAGAAAAAGTAAAGGTCCAACGAGAAGTTTACGAACTCTATTGTGAAATAACTATCAAATACTAAATGCGTTGATTTGAAAGTATTTTCAACAATGGACCAAACAAAAGACGATACTTAGTATGTATTGGGTATTAAGTTCTATTGTATAGACTTGATAAAATGTTTGAACGTGTAAAGGAGTTTACCGTGTTAAACATGAATTGAAGGACTTTGAAAGAATTTCGACCCATATGTATAAAACTAAGTAAATTTTTTAACTAAGTATAAGCTAGGCTAAATACTAAGTCAAACATGAAAGACTCTAATAGAGACTTTCAACCATATCACACAGCAAACTGTTTAGCAAAAACTTAGTGAAACTGAATGAGCTTAAATGACAAATTAATGGAATAATATTGAGAATTACTCTACAATTTAATCCATCATGTACGCTGTGATATGTAATCGTCGCACGACTTACTTGCTTAGAGCATGTGAAGTATGTATGTAGTACCAATCAACCTGAATATATGTAATAGATCGTTAGATTATGGCCAAGAATATCCAAAGTACTTGGGTAAGTAACAAGATGAGTTCTTGACTTGTGGAAACAAATACAATTTGAGAATTGATGTTGCAAGCAAAAGCCTTAACAAGGAGGCCGTTTATAAACACGAGCTTAAAATGAGTCGTGGCGTGAGAATGGTAACATGGACGTGGATCCATGTGTAATGCATGTGCAGGAATTTAAGAAAATTTCCATGATCACAAGTGATTAGGGTATCCCAAATCATTGTGAGCCGTTTGGAATGATACCCAAGCAAAGCATCATTAGGAAGTATACGAAAATATATGTTGAGAACATTGTTGCCTTAATGGCGGTAACAAAGAAGATGTTCTATGGAAAATTCGTTGCTGAACGTTAATGATTGTAGTTCGTCAAGTTGAAGTTCTCAATCATGAAAATGAGTGGGATCCATCACTTGGAAAATAATTCCTAAATCACATATAATCCATGACACTCTCAAATTTTATCATTATATTATGAAAGTGATCAGTAATGAAGATGTTAAGATTAGCAAAGTAACTATAACTAAACCTATGCAATGAGTAAACGACAACATTCAAAATTGCATGAAAGAAATCAAGCATATTAGTTATGGGTGTGATTTCTATAATGTTTTATAAAGAGTGATACTCTTAAAACATTTGGAAAATCATTAATCATAAGATGAACCATTTAGGTTTTGGAATTTTAAAATTTCATGCAATTGTATCACTCCGTTTGCTATTTAATTGTGGTTTAGAATTAAATAATGAGTCCATTCAATTCTTGGAATATTAAAAATAGGGTATCAAGAACAGTCTGGGAAAGGAAACACCTATTGAGTGAACATTGAATATTATAATCGAAAATTATCCCTAATCGAGGTCATTTAAACGATGGACGATTAAGGACCAATTGTGTAGTCTAATTTATGGCACTGTTTCTTGTGCTACGAGGACATGATTGTCATAAATCATTTGCATAGGTATTGGTTTAGAACCATAATGGATCGACCTATGAGAATATTTTAAGAGATTAAGAATCATCATAAGTATACTTCTCATTATGGCTATCGAAACCTATTTCCTTGACCGTGAGTATTGTGAGTTCTCTTGTTTGAGTATTAGTCCGCTTTGATGTTGTCAAGCGTCTGTCGTAATAGGAGATTATAATGGCAACACTCGGGCAGCTAGGTCCTCTCAGTAAGAGGAGCTACATTACAAGACTTGGAATGTCCCCCTACAAGGCTAGGTATGAGAAGGACAAGTGGGAGATTGAAAGGAATGGTGTCCTTCGAGCAAGTGTACTGTTCCGTTAGTGGGTTCAGAATTATTAAAAAGCTAATATATTCAGTAAGGTCAAGTGATCGGAATGCTTGGATGGAGGCCGCTTCCGATCAGTAATATTAAGGTATAATTAATATTACAGCTTAATCTTGACTGAACCCTTCAGGTCACACCCAAGAAAATATACGAACCGACTCGACGAAATTATTCGGAAGAAATTAATTCGTCCCCCGAGTAATAAATATTTAGACGTCGGAATTTCGAGCTTAGACCGTCGAAATCGAGCGTCGAAAGTCGAGTAAAAAATAGTAAAAGACGAGATGACAAAATTTGTAATAAATTAACAATGACTAAAATACCCTTAGCATCAGAATTCTGAGTGCTAGGGGATTAGGCAAGCTATCAGCCCGCACCATGTGCGAGGCTTGCTAGCAAGCTACGGCCAGCAGCCCGCAAGCATTGTGTGGCTTGCTGGCGCGCGCTACTGCTAGCAGCCCGCACATGTGTGTGGCTTGCTAGCAGCGCCTATCGGCAGCAGCAGCCCGCACATATGTGTGTGGGCG